CTTCCATAAGGCAGAACAAACCAACAAGAAAAATAAATGTGGTAATTCAGACAGCATTAAGTTTTATGAAGAAAATACAAGTAGGTAAAGGTAGAGTATTAACTGCAAGAAAGAATGCTTTTTACATAGCATGACAAGAAGGCATCCCTGAAACATTAATGCTCATTTGAAGATCTCAGGCAAGAGTCAGACTGTGGCAATAGGAAGATAAAGAACCTCAGTCAGAAATGAGCTTGGCATTGGGAGTAAAAGAAGTCAATGCAGTGACAGCCTGGTGATAGAGGGGGAGCTTATCACAAAAAGAGGCTGGAGAGTAAACAGTAGTCAGATATGCTAAGGCACTGCAGTACTATGGCAGCAATATGTTGCAGAGAGAACAGAAGATGAAGCAGTACTACTGACAAGTCTTTAAAGTTCTGTTGTCAAGGGAAGCAAAAATACAGGTCACTAGCTGCAGGGACAAATGACACGAGAGAACAGTTTAAGACAGAAATGCTACAGCATGTTGGAATGCTGATGGCAATGATCCAGCAAGAGAAGGAAGTAAAAACACAAAAGAGAAACAATTGCTATAGTCTGAATGTCTCCCAAATTTATGTGTTAAAACTTAATCCCCATTGTGGTGGTATTAAGAGGTGGCCTTTGGGAAGTGATTAAGTCATGAGGGCTCTGCTTGAGAGAGAGCCCTTCTACCTTCTGAGGACATAGCATTCATCCCTTCTGCCACATAAGGATGCAGCAGAAGCCCTCACCAAACACTGAAGGCGGCACTTAATGGACTTCAACCTCCAGAACTGTTGAAATAAATTGCTATTGTTTATAAATTACCCGATCCATGGTATTTTGTTATAGCAGCACAGACTAAGGCACAACTATAGGAGCAACATTTTCAGAAGGTAAGGAGAAATGGAATCCATGGCATAAGTACACAGATTAGATTTAGTTGGGAATAGAGATGTTTCATGCATTTTAATATGAGAAAAGGTAGCAGAGTGGGTACAGATGTGGGCAAGCTAGTGAATTTTGAGGTAGAAAGAAGAGAATTCCCTTGTGATTTCATTTCTCAGGAAAAGTCTATAAAAATGAGTTAAGGAGAGAAATAATAGGGTTAATTCAATGGTTATAGGAAAAAAAATGTTGAATATGAATAAACATCCAGGGAACTGTAAGAATTATGCAGTATTGAGTGTGCATTTAAGATTGAGATTGTTTCCTTATAGTGATACTAATCAGCAAGGTTGTCTTCATTTTTCTGC